GAAATCAATTGATTAAGGTATGTTCGGCGTTAATTCAGTTTCTTGATGATTTGACATGAAAATCTTGACAAGATCATAAAGTTTAAATTTTAATAAAGTTACAACAGTTACAACTCACGTAGAGGTTGCTAATTTCAGTAGATTTTGTCATTAAACTAATTAAGAAAGCTACTTAATCGTTATTCATCGTCCAGATACTTGATAGCTTCATTCCTACATTTAGCAATTAGGACACGACCTCATAGCTTTATTCCTACATCTCGAGACCTTTGTTATGCATGAAATGATCTTGAATATGTACACGGCGAATTGATGAGGGATTAGATTGGAAATGGACAAACTACGATGAACTCCAACGAGGACAATGACTATGAGACTGATCACGAGCTTACAAAATATTACCCACTTTGAATGATGACGAGAAGTAGGACCATGGCACATGAGATATCTTTTGTTTTATTACTCTTTAGCTTCTATATTGGTCAAATTATTATTTTTTATTCTGAACCTATATTAATGGGAGGTTTACGTAATGTATACAATCAGAAGTTTAGTCTAACTGACATACGGTGACTTCGTATTATCCTTGGTATTATGGCCCTGTTTGGGAATTGGGAAGGATTCTCAAAATTCTGCAGTAAATCAATTCTCATTTTCAACCACACATTTTTCAATAAAATAATATTTTCCATCACATCAATAATTTTTTCTTTTTTTTTCAACTACATATTTCTCATCATATCACTATTCAAAATCAATTCTTTCCCCAAAAATCCCTCTCAAACCAGCACTATGTTAGTACGTATAGTCATACATATAATAGAATTAGTCCTATTTTGAAGAGGATTATTTATGTCACACTCAATAGAAAGTGATGAAGATCAAGTTTTTAACTTTTTTTAGTTAGTATTTTTTTAATAAATAAATTTGAATTTTAATTCCGTTTATTAATATTAGAAATTTTAATTCACTATCTTTTATTTATAATAATTATTTAATTTTTAGTAATTCTCTAGATTTTAGTTATTTCTTGAAATAAGGGTTGAAAGTCATCATGGTAAGAAAGTAATTTTTGACTTGAAATAAAATATTAATGGTATAGATCTTCTTCTATTACTTAAATTCTCGGTATTTTGATATTTAAAATCAACAAATTCAAATTCTCTGAATTCGAGTGGGAATTAAATAGTTTTTTATGCCTAGATTTTTTATATTCTTAGAAATCTACAAAAATTAGAAGGTGATGATAGACATAAATATAAGATTATAAAATGATATAAGGATTTTTGAGAGTGGTGGACGGAGTGCAAACGGACAAAGTTCAGTGAGCACTGTGAATCACTTTAAAGTTTTGTGAGTAATCCGTGATTATGATAAAAGTTTGATGATTATTGAAACAATTGACTCCATGAAAGATTCCCTAAAATATATATTTTTTCTTCTAAAGACTTTTTCAAGTTTATTTACTACAAGGGGCCAATCATAGACATACACGCAACCAAATAACATAAACATCAAAATGTGCTTACAGCTCAGAGAGCATAATTTGATAGTCAACGACTGACTTAGCATTTAAGTCTAAAAGATAAATCACGTCAACAAATTTTGAAGAGGATTATTTATGTCACTCTCAATAGAAAGTGATGAAGATCAAGTTTTTAATTTTTTTTAGTTAGTATTTTTTTAATAAATAAATTTGAATTTTAATTCCGTTTATTAATATTAGAAATTTTAATTCACTATCTTTTATTTATAATAATTATTTAATTTTTAGTAATTATCTAGATTTTAGTTATTTCTTGAAATAAGGGTTGAAAGTCATCATGGTAAGAAAGTAATTTTTGACTTGAAATAAAATATTAATGGTTTAGATCTTCTTCTTTTACTTAAATTATCGGTATTTTGATATTTAAAATCAACAAATTCAAATTCTCTGAATTCGTGTGGGAATTAAATAGTTTTTGATGCCTAGAATTTTTATATTCTTAGAAATCTACAAAAATTAGAAGGTGATCCTGGACATAAATATAAGATTATAAAATGATATAAGGATTTTTGAGAGTGGTGGACGGAGTGCAAACGAATAAAGTTCAGTGAGCACTATGAAGTATTTTAAAGTTTAGTGAGCAGTCCGTGACCATAATATAAGTTTGGTGATTATTG